ACAGAACCTACAGACAGGAGAACTTCGCTGGAAAGAACATGACAAAAGATCCTGGACTGAACCTGACTACAGAAATTGGCAAAAGAACCTGACTAGAACCTGGTGACTGAACCTGGCTGGAGAACCTGGACAGAACCTGGCTGAAGAACCTAGCGAGGGAACATGGCTACAGAACCTGGCTGGAGAACCTGGAGAACCTAGCAAGAGAACATGGACACAGAACCTGGCTGGAGATCCAAAGCAGAACCTCTCTGGAAATCCAGACCAGAACTTGGCTGGAGATCCTGGCTGGAGATCCTGGCTGGAGATCCTGGCTAGGCTGCTGATCAACTGAACACTGTCTCCGTGTCATTCCTTCTTCGCCGACTCCGTCCTCACCTATGGGGAACCCCTGGACCTGCTGGGGCAGGACCCCGGCAGCCACTCAATGTATATATGGTATTATACTATCTGAGGTTTCAAGTATCCATGGGGTGTCTTGGAACTACTCTCTGTAAATAAGGGGGAACTATTCTCTATAAAAAGTAAATGTTTTAGTATATTGAATTTCAAAAACAATTCAGCCCTTGGCGTGGGTCTGGGTGGGAAGGAATCCAACCTAAATGAATAAGATGTGTTGAAAACATGGAGAATATATTCAACTTTTCCTAAAAATTGCTCTTTATAGAAAAGACCAGTGGCATAATATAGACTCTAAGGATGTTATGGATGTTCTTATTTAAAGAAATGCCACAAGTTTCTATGACCTGCCCTATGCCAAAGTACTTGTCTTTTAGAGAAAGATTCATGGGGTAGATTCAAAATCTTTTTTTAAATTACTCATGTGGAGTAGCTGTAAAGTACTATGACAGTATAAATTAAATGAATCTTGTGAGTCAGTAATAGAAAATATATGGTCAAATGGCATAATATATGATATTTAAGACATGCTGATTTTGCTGAAGATTTCTTTTTATAATATTTTCATTACAGTTGGGAATTAAAATGTTCTGGTAAAAGAAATGTGATATGTCCTTTACCATTCTCACAGGACATAGGTATTTTAAAGAACGCTACATTCTTTGTGGGACTTATGGAATAATTTGTTCTCACTCAAAATTGAATATGTTATCAAAGTTTTATTTGCTTAGTAGTTTATCACTCAGTTTTATTTTTAGATGGATTGATGGATTAAATGAAACAAAACTGTGAGGGCAGAGATTTATATTTTTGCAAGAGCTATCCTATTTTCCTTAAAAGCAAGACAATTTGAAACAAATGTGGATATGTATTTTTAAACTAATAAGTAGTTAAAATACTTTATTGTACATGTTATCACATACTTATTTCCTTGGTAATTTTCCTGAAATACTTGGATTTTGTTACATCAAGTGGCTCCATTCACCTTTGATTCAGATGCTGCTCTCCTGGAAGATAGAATTTAGTGAAAATTTACAAATGCATAATGAGTTCAAAGTGGTAGTAAGGATGTCAGGTAGATATCCATCATAATGAGGAGTTAATATCTGTATCTGCATTACATTCTAATTGATGGCTCTGTCTGATATTTGAAAAGCGTTAAATTGCTGATGTACATGTGATGGAATGCCTATTGTCAGGCTAGAAATGAAAACTCTGCCTCATCACTGCAGTTGTTTTCTGAGTAATTTGTAGAGAAGTGACTTTGAATGGTCATATTAGAGGTCAGAATTAGAGATCTCACATTTTAGTAGTAACTCCTATGTGTCAAGTCTTCCTTCAACATAAACTATGTTCTGTAATTCAATTTTTGAAAAAGCTTTAAGAGAAAGAGACTTGAGTCATTAAAGTTAGAGGAAAAAATCTAGAAAGCCACAGCGGGACTGTGTTTAAGTAAATTAATCAATAATACATGAACTGAGTGATTAAAGAAATAATATCATAATATCATGTCAAGATAACAGGAATTTATTGATGTTTAAGCCAAACAGGAAAAAAAAAAAAAAAGAATGACTAGTGCTAGGAAATTGCAGTATTTTATAATGTATGTTTAAATAAGTTGAATTGTGGAATATTCAAAAATTTACCACCAACTTTTTCATCTCACATTTTTATAAAACTGCAGTTACCTTAAGATTAATATATATATATATATATATATATATATATATATATATATATATACTATTATATATGTATGTGTGTGAGTGTACATGAATGTCATGCAACCTCTTCCTTTTCTCTACAATATCTTGCAGAATTATATAATTTCTTCTGCATTATTGTACTAATTTTTATTTCTTTCCAGCGATCTTTGGCAGTCCTCCCTTCTCTAATACTAGAAATGTCCCTTCTGACCCATGCAGCATTCAATGGATGTGTTAGGTTCACTGTCTCAATTAATTCTAATGACAACACATTGAGATTTATATTATTATCACATACATTTCACAAAGGAATACCCTGTGTTGCAAAGACGTTAAACCTTTTGGCCAAGATCACCTTCCCTAGCTTTTCTCTAAATGTCTGGCTCATGTGCTGCATCTTTAGCCACAGCATACTACTCTGGTCTTTTCAGGGGTTCCACACACTATGCATTCTCATTATTCTGCCTGCTTATAGATTTCCCTCTGCCAGAATGCCCTCCTCTCTTTTGTCACAAGTACCTTCGAGGTCACTTGGGAAATCCTTTCTCAGTTTCTCTGTAGAATCAATCACCCCTGATTCTCCCATTTTGCATATTTTGACTTATTTGTTTATGTATTTGTTTCTCTGGGTGTAGTGTTCCTTTCTTGAATAATAGGGACCTGTCACACTACCTGACATGCCTTAGATGTTCATCTTTATTGACTCAACTCTAGGTAAGTGGAAATCCTAGTTTATAGGATAGTAGAATGAGAATCTAGCCAGGATTACAATGTTTATTTTGTAAAGTTTAATATTTAATTATATTTGGATTTTTTTTAAACATTCAGGATATTTTAATTCATGAGCTCCTGCCAGCCAGGATTGGAGCTGTGTATACACATAATTCTGTGCATGATGCCACTCCCTTTTATATAAACCTTGTTTGTATCTTTTTCATTAGAGTTTATTTGTCAACCACTGGCTATTAGGCAATTGGATAATCAGTTGTCAGGTGAGCTCTGTTCTTTATCCACAGTGGAGCACATAGAATAATCGTAAAACATAGTGAGAGATCTTAGATTCCAGCTGGGATGACATACCTAATACACGGAAAATTTTGTTATAAATTCTCTTAATCTGCAACCATAACACACAAGTGGGTTACTGAATACAGACTGAAGACCACTTGTAGTTAATTAGCCTAGTTATCCTAATACCTCTCTGCAGGATACTACAAACTGTCATCCAAGACTGTGTAGGGAGGAAAACCTCCATCTGCCATTTCTGTAGCAAGGTTATGAAACCAAACTCTCCAAGGCTAGCAGAGGGTGTTCATTTGTTTGTTTTTTGGGGAATAGGTGCCATCCCAGACATTTATTTAAATTTCAATGAGTGAGGCCAATTCATGTCACTAATTACATAACTCCATGGAATACCATGATCTTCTGTAGTAACCTTAAAATTCTCTAATCCTTTTGATTACTCATGACTATGTGATGTACTGTATCTTGCTTCTTGTATTTCTATAGAGTTGCTATATAGGCAGAGCAATTTCATTTAATATTAGCTTTGTCAATGCAAATCATTCAGGAATCTTTTTTTTCTTTCCCCTTCACCTACCAAATAGCTTCTGCCCTTGTTTTTTTTATTCTTAATAATGATTTTGAAAATGAGTAAGCATAAATATTTCCTTCATTGAATACATTACCCTCATGCAACTGTGTTATTCTCTTGAGCTTCAAAGGTAAAATTGTGTGTGTGTGTGTGTGTGTGTGTGTATTTTGTGTTCTCGTAAGTTTTTCTACCAAGTACCATATACTTTTATTTTTAATAGTAGAGGCCCAGTGCACAAAAATTTGTGCACTCGGGGGGCATCCCTCAGCCCAGCCTGCCCCCTCTAATAGTCTGGGAGCCCTCACAGGATGTCTTACTGATGTCCCTGTGGGGAGCAGGCCTAAGCCACAGTCTGGCCTCCCTCTGTGGAAGACAACTGGCCAATCAGGTATATAGATACTTTCTGAAGGCAGCACAGACCCCTTCCTTATTTCTTTCCTCTGTGGTTGGGGGATAGGGGACTAGAAGGTGGAAACAGAACTGTGTCCAGGCCTGGGGCTCTTGTAGGCAGCAGAAAGAAGGAGAGGGCTGGGGAAAGTCTAGACATGGTTTTCTTCAATTGTCCTCCCTTCCTCCAGGCCCCTTACTCTGTTCTTTCCTTGTTGTGGTGGACGCTTGGGCCTCGGACTGACAGGAGCCCAGCGATGGTGGAGTTCAGCCCCCTCACTTCTCAGCTGAACATACAACCGCCTCACATTCCAAGTGGAGCTGTTTTCAAGTGACTAAAGTGCTGGCAATTCATGCCTCCCAGCCTTTCCCCTCTCAGGTTTCCTCCTTGGGTCAGTTGCAAATTTCTCTGAGATATGGAAGCAACTCTGCCCTGGTACTTCTGCACCAGCCCCTGCCTGGGCCTGGCCGGGCACTCTTCCTTGAGGTATCTGGGTCCACAGTCTGAGCTCAGGGAGGTCATCCAGAGCCCATTCCCCTGGACAGGTCGCACATGGGGGCCTGGATGGCCATTCGCACTGTTCCACCCTGCCTGCAGTATGCAAATTAGCCACCATCTTTGTTGGCAGTTAATTTTCATATCACTCTGATTTGCCAACGGTGGGCATAGTGAAGGTATGGTCAATTACCATGTTTGTCTATTATTAGTGTAGATAATATCTTCTTTTCCTATAGTAACATCAATAGCAAAACATAATTAACTTATATGTGATTTTTCCATGGGGACAATGCATAGTTCTATGGATAATCACTAAAATTTTATGGACACATAATACAGTTTATTGTTTTATTTTTACCATGGTGTTTTTCTTTATTGTTTATTTTAAGATGCAATACCTCTCTTGTTTCCACAGGTAAGAAGATGGCCTATCAAAAAGTCAATGCAGATCAAAGAGCTCCAGGACATTCACAGTACTTGGACAATGATGACCTTCAAGCCACTGCCCTTGACTTAGAGTGGGACATGGAAAAGGAACTGGAGGAGCCTGGTTTTGACCAGTTTCACCTAGATAGTGCAGAGAATCAGAATCTGGAGAGTTCAGAGACTGCAGACCTCAATCTTGATTCCATTCAACCAGCAACTTCACCCAAAGGCAGGTTTCAGCGACTTCAAGAAGATTCTGACTATGCTACCCGCTATACAAGATCTGCACCAAAGAGCAACCACTGCACCTTTTGCCGCCTTGTAAAAATACTTTGTACAGCCATCATTTTGTTTATTTTTGGAATTTTGATAGGCTATTATGCACATAAAAATTGCCCTTCAAATGCTACATCTTCAGGAACACTTGATCATCAGTTATATCAAGAGATTCTCAAGACAATCCAAGCAGAAGATATTAAGAAGACTTTCAGGTAGGAAAAAAGAAATGGATGTTGGTGGGGAGGCATTTTCTGGAAAGATGTTTTAGGGATTACTGAACAGGTGATTTTTCCGTGGTGTAAGATTAACCTTGTAAGCTGAGAGCTATAACTTACTGGCACATTTTTCACAGAAGGGGGGTGTCTACATTTTCAGACTTATGATATTGTAATATAAATTAATAATGCTGCTTTATGAATTGATAATAAGAATTGTGGGTACTATGAAGACTAACAGACTTGAGCTAGTGCATTTTTCCATCTTGGGAAGTCCAGGTATGCCAAATTGAGATGCAAAGACTGCTGGATGTACATGTAATAAGAACTAAGACATTAACCATATGATTGCATTTTAATGACCCCAGAATAAAATAAACCTGTTTTTTGGAGCAGAAGTAACTGACTCTTATGGTCAGGAGCACTGGCAGTATTTGGTCTTCTACGTGCCTGAGCTTTCCAATGAGCACATTTTTATTGAAACACATTGGGTTCAGGCAATTCCAAAAACTCATCTTCCTCTTTAAGGTAAGTTGCCATTTAACTTGTCTTGCATAATATGTTGATTATGGCTATGTTATCTCCATACTGGATCCTATCATAGGAATTAGTTTTATTTAAATTGTAGAGATGGATTTCTCCCCTCTGTAAGGGGGAAACCCCTATTTCCATCAGACCAACTAATGGCAATGAGAACCCTGTATTAATGGCTACCCAATCCTGCCAGAGTCCAAAATCTTTGCTACTTGTTATCATCTACTGTATTGTTATGATCCTTCTTAAACTGACCTAAAATGAGGAACTCTCTGTTTCAGCTATCTAGAAATAAAACAATAATTTGCTCTGTTTAATTAAATCTATGCTCACTTGCCCTACTTTAATATTCTTTGGCATAAGAAAGTAAACAGTCCTTCCCTAACCGGTTTGGCTCAGTGGATAGAGTGTCAGCCTGCGGACAGAATGGTCCCAGGTTCTATTCCAGTCAAGGGCATGTACCTTGGTTGCAGGCTCGATCCCCATTGGGGGTTGTGCAAGAGGCAGCTGATCGATGTTTCTCTCTCATCGATGTTTCTCATTCTCTATCCCTCTCCCTTCCTTGCTGTAAAAATCAATAATATATATTTTTTTTAAAAAGAAAGTAAACATTCCTATAGCTTCTCTGCCCTCTTCTTTGAAATCAGACATTAGATTTGTTTGCTTGTTATAGTATCATTGTCTATCCTGTGCTCACAGCATCTTTATTCTTTTCACCCCTCCCTTTCCACGTCTGTCACTCAAGTTTACTTCCTTCTATTCAGGAACCATGATACTCTTTTACCAAGGATTAAAAGTTCCTGTTCAAGAAAGCTGACAACTGCATGTTCTCTCCAGTCTTAATGAGAGAAAAGCCAGACTAAAGAAAAGCTAGCTGTGGAATTCATGGGAGACCCATGGACTGCTTTATGGTTATGAGAACACTAGAAAGACTCCTTTAAATAAGTGATTTTTCTTTCCTCAGATACCACAGCAATATATTTTTGCTGTTATTTTTTTGTGCAGATTCAAGTCTTGATGGTGATGCCATTGGCAACTGTTCTCCAGTCTCCAGCTATACTTTGTCACCATTTCTGTTCTTCCTCTGCCTTATATATTTATTTTTTATCTCCGTCTTCTTTTCCCTTCATTTTTTTTTTATTTCTCTTTGATTTCAGTAATAAAGGGATTGAGAGCAGGATGGTCAGGATAAATGAAGAGGGCAATGAAACAGCTGGCATTTTAATAGGAGAAAAAGATGTAAACATATAGCAAAACTGTACATAATTTGATACATGCAAATGATAACAGAATGAATTTAACAGTAGTGGTGTGATGGTTCCTATAGGAAGTTTTATCTATTCTATTATTCATCTATCCAGATAACAAGTGAACATTGTCATAAATTTAATCACAAAAGAAATACATAGGATAAGATTTATTTAATTATGCATAGTATTTTCTTGCTTTAGATTTTAGACACAGCAACTCCTTCACTTAGGATTTCTCAGTGTTATGCAGAATTACATTAATTCTCTCAACTGACTGGATCAACTCACTGATGAGAAGTTACACTCTTTCAATCCTTAAGCACTTGGTCAGAGCCATAGTAGCACCCACTAATAGGATGAATGATGATTGATTATAGGAGGATCTTTGAATATAATGACCTTCTCAATTCTGACATCCTATGTAATAAAGAGGTGATATGCAAATTGACCACCACACCCTCGCAAAAGATGGCCACCCCCATGTGGACACAAGATAGCCACCACAAGATGGCTGGCAGGGGAGGGCAGTTGGAAATGACCAGGCCGGCAGGGGAGGGCAGTTGGGGGTAATCAGGCTGGGAGGGGAGCAGGTAGGCATCGATCAGGCTGACAAGGGAGTGATTAAGGCAGTGGTTCTCAACTTTCTGGCCCTTTAAATACAGTTTCTCATGTTGTGACCCAACCATAAAATTATTTTCATTGCTACTTCATAACTGTAATGTTGCTACTGTTATGAATCATAATTTAAATATCTGATATGCAGGATGGTCTTAGGCGACCCCTATGAAAGGGTTGTTTGACTGCCAAAGGGGTCATGACTCACAGGTTGAGAACTGCTGGGTTAGGAGGTGATCAGGCTGGCAGGCAGGTGAGTGGTTGGGAGCCAGCAGTCCTGGATTGTGAGAGGGATGTCCGACTGCCGGTTTAGGCCCGAAACCAGCAGTCAGACATCCCCTGAGGGGTCCCAGATTGGAGAGGGTGCAGGCTGGGCTGAGGGACACTCCCCACCCAGGGCATGAATTTCATGTGCCAGGCCTCTAGTGTTCAGATACTATGCATCCTTTGAGGCCTGGTTCAAGTGCTAACTTCTTCATGATGCTCTCTGATCTCTCACCAGTTGAGTCCTCTCACTCTTAGCTTGCAACTCTCAGTACTTTGTTTTCTCTCTTTTTGTTGGCATGAGTCACTGTCTACTTTGCAGTAGAGAAAGAAGACTGTCAGTCTGACATTCTAGTAGTACTTGAGTATGGTATGCAGACACCCAGTAAATATTTACTGCAGGATAGAATGAGCCCAGAATACAGACCTTTTTGATAAAACCTTCACTTCCATGCACATTATCCTTTGTTTGTTTGTTTATTCTTATAGCAAAGGTGGAAATTTATTGTGAAACAAGCACAGACTCCCACGTGGGGAAGGGGAAAGAGTCCCTATTATTTATTTTAAAAGAATGTTCACATGGTCCCCAATTTACAATGGTCTGACTTAGAATTTTTTTTTGTCTTTGTGATGATACAAGTAGAAAGCGTGCTTTAAATTTTGAATATATAGCTAGCCTTTTCCCAGACTAGCTATAGATGGCACAGTACTCTTCCATGGTCCTGGGCAGTGACAGTAAGATGATTTTGCTCAACTGTAAGCTAATGTAAGTGTTCTTAGTGTGTTTAATGTAGGCTAAGCTAACCTATGATGCTCAGCAGGTTAGGTGTATTAAATGCATTTTATATTTACAATATTTTAACTATACAGTGGGTTTATCTGGATGTAACCCCATTGTTAATCTAGGAGCATCTGTATACTCTAGTTCTTAATCTATATTATTGAACTTTGAAATTAAAGTCATATATATGATTTTTGGAACATATTTTATTTACATTCTCATAGTGTGTACTAAAAAGTTGTTTTAAAAGGTAAAGGATTTTTTTTCTCTGTGTAAACATGGGCTGACTGTTTACTATATTCAGTTTTTAATAATATTCTGTATAATCTATATGGTATTCTCTTTCTATAAAGAAAAAATGGAAAGTAAAAAGGTATCTCCATGATCATAGGCATTTGGAGATACAAAGTAAATCCCCTCACAGTTCTGCTTAAGCCCTATCATTTCAGGAAGTTGTTTCAGTCTAGGTCTAGCTCTGCTGAAGGCTTGCTTTCTTCCTTCTCAATTTCAGGTAAATTCAAAGAATGCTCTATCTCTCTCTATCCTCTCCCTCCTTCCCGACCCCTCCACCCCCCACAGTCATACACGTACAAATTATTTTATCCTGAAGGTTACATGCTAATGTTAGGTTACATAATTTCCTAGTAAGCACATTTCTTTTCGTTGTTATAAAATCATTTTCACAGAATCTATCTGCTGTAAAGCATCAGGGTTAAGTTGTTAAGGATCAAAATGCAGGAATCTTTAGTTTTTCTAATTTGTTTTTTGTTGAATTCTTAGTGGGAGAAATATATTGTACATAATTAGAAGACTCCTTTGCAGTGACTATGTCCTATAGTCAATGAAATATTTCCATCAAATATACCAAGGTCATCTGTGCTTACCAGCTGCCTATCCTGAAAAAATATTCAACTTAAGGCTTGTCACATTTTTCTTACATCTTTTTCTGCATTGACTATAACATGCTTTTTCGTCCATTCATTTCTTGATCTTATTCATTCCAAAAAAGGAACAAGATCAGTCAGATATAGTACAAGATGAAAACAAACCTTTTTCTTTGAGCATCAAGTATGTCAGTTTCTTGTGGATTCACTTGACGTTCCAGCACTCTTCCTATAGAACAGTAGGTAATGCTCACATTAAGTAAAGTATAACTTAAACGTGGAAAGGTTGGGGCCTGATTACACGCTACTCTCATGCTTCTTTCAGTACCAATAAAATCAAGATTTAAATGGCTCACATGACCTTTTGAGATTTGCAATTTGAAAATCTCAACCCATATCTTAGACATTAAGCAAGATATTTGAATATTGCAGTTTAAAGTATTGACTTCATAATATCATACAGTAGTTTACAGGGGAAATTAAAATATATGTGGAAAATGATTAAGCGATATTTATCAAATAAAATTAAGTACTTTATTACAGTCACTTGAAATGGATGTTTTTAGGGGATGGGAGGGAAGTGAAATTGGCTGGTGAATCAGATTCCAAAAAATTGATGATGAATGCTTTCTCCCTACTGCCCCCATCCTGGGACACTATTATTAACTA